TCAAAACGGCTCAATTGACTGGCATCAAACAGAGACAGGGAAGCGGTGGTGGTCCAAGATCGAATTACTCGTTACAATGGCGACCCGTGTCTCTCCAGCTGCCCACCTGCTTCGCAAGTCGAGGCTGTTCTCGTTGCCGCCTCATCTTCCTTCGCCCGCAAGGCCTCTCACTGCTGAGCCGCTGGCCTACTCGGAGTCCGCGACCAAGATCTATCCAACGCACCAGGCCATTGTCACTCCTCCTTCCTCTGCTGCTAGAGGCGATTGGGGTCTGAAGCGTCCGCTGCCGGCCAAATCCACCATCGACCGCTCCTCGTCGCCGATTTTGCGGATCAACAGCCTTGATACTCTCGAACACATAACGGATTTTGACTCTGCTGCCGACCATACACGAACTCTAGAAAAATTCCATGAGCTAGAGCTCGCCATATCCAAGCCCCGTGATAACCTCACTTTGAGACGTCGCAGCGCCGGCACTTCCCCACATGTCAGCGTCTTTGAGGAAGATGCTGCACTTGCGGAGTCCCTTACCCGACCTGTCGATGAGACTACGCCGTCGACAGAGGAAATGAGGTCCCCAAGGCTTGGACGATACCGATTCAAGGGGCCGTGGCTAGCTGGGCAGTCGGATGCGGAATTCAATGAGTACTTGAAGCAAGTCCGCAACCGGAAGGCCGAGTTCCTCGACTTTTTGAGAAAGCGCTTCCACGCGCAGCGCAATGCGCACAAGAAACGAGCCGCATCAGAGGAGAACGGAATACCCACAGCGGGAGTCGAAGAAGAGAAGTTCTCAGAAGAGCTATTCCAGGAATGGCTACGGAAGGAAAGACTGCGTCCGAAGGAGCTGCCCATTGCCATGAAGAAGTTCCTTGATTTCGCTCCTCCCATGGTCGCCACAAGTGCCTACACTGGCCATAAAGTGTTTAGCTGGGACACCGGCCCATCAGATGTCTCTTCACCAACATACGCAACAGAGGGCCCACCACAAACTCATCCCTCTGCTGGCCTTTCTTATCTACGCACACAGGCTCGTGTCTTCAACCACCCTTGCTTCGGCCCTCAGCAGGAGAGGCCCGTCGTCGACACCCGCATTCTCAGGTCTGCAAAGGCTGGTCCACAGAGCCATCGCATCGCCTCAGGCGTCGCAGGCTTCATCGCGTATGACACCAACATGAGGCACGTGGACAGCAGATTTATGCAGATTTCTGAAGATGCGCCCGGTGGTCCTAAGCTGCCAAGTCACGTCTTCCGTGCCACGATTGGTTCCGATGGCAGAGTCAACGTCCACGTTCGGCAGGCTAAGAACCCTAGTGTCGATATCGACAATCGCCCTACTTACACCAAGGGGACAAATCGTTCAATGGGCAGCTTCACGGCCGGGTTGAGACAGACAGCAACAACAACTACTCGCCCGAGCAATGTTGGCAATGAGCTCTATGCCAACGATCTCCTGACTCGCAGACCATGAAACTGAATGGAAGGGAGAGCACGGGGGCCCATAATCCTTACGTTTTTCTAGCTTGTCATTGCGTTTGATCATGTACAGATATAGATTGGTGGTGTGTTTATAATCTCTCACTTGTGACCTATGCGAACATCCCTTATTCTCAGAGCCCTATTTGTCTCGGGGCGAAGCTGAATCGTGCAAAACTGGTGAGACGTGTGGTATTGAGTGCCTACTGTTTGGCGCTCTGCACCAGGGTGGTGATCTTCTGCTCAATCTCCTGGTCCGACAACCCTGCGAAAATGATGTCAGAGGATGTTTCTGGAAGTGTAGAACGAATATATCTCACCTAGTAGGCTCTCCTGCTTCTCCTTTCCTAGCTCTGGCGCGGTTGTCAGTAATTCTCTTCGTCAATTGCAAACTGCAAACCCAATGACAGTCACCCACCGTATCTCGCAAAGACTCTGGGCTTGGTATCGAAAGCTTCCCGCATGAGCACAGGAACGTATGGGTTGTTTTTCTTCATTGTCGGGTATGCACGCTTCAAAAATTGCCTGCGAATGGCCAATTGATTAGCATCTGAGTCCTCGCATGATGCTTTGCTTGGAAGAGCACGTAGGCGCATATATACCTGGTAGCCTCGCTATGTTGCGAAGACTGACAGAATAGAAAACGAAGCTCCTTGAGGCCGGAAGCAAACGCGTATCTGGTAGCCATCTCGGTTTTTTTTTTTATATATCTTTTGGATGATGCTGAGATTCGAAGGGTAGGTGAATTGTGATTTCTGGTATATCTTTGAGCTGCCCCTTTCACGTCCGATGGCAATTGACTCGACGATCTCCGTTCAATGTGCACTCTGCGCGCGCGATTATCAACTGTTCGGCCGGCAATTCTCTCGTCTCGGGCTGTCTTCGTCGACCTCTCCCTTCATACTGCGATATGGATGACCAGGACGATGCGGAAACCGCCTGAGCCGCCGCCGAAGCGCGAACTGCCAAAAAGGGAAAAGCGGATTGCCGTAAAAAATACGTCCCCTTTAATCTGACGTCACGCAGGCCATTAGCCGCGATTGGCGCGGTGAGGTGAAAAAGCAGCGATGCGATTGGTTCAATTGGTGCTTGCAGCACTCATAAGTAGCCTAACCAATCAGCGGGCTTTCTGGCTGTCTACTTGACGCTAAGCTGCATTGAGACTAGGCCAGGTATCCCCTCCTCAGCGGGGACAACCCCTCAGGTTCTGGCTTATCAGGGACGGACTCCGTATATGTACTGCTGCTGGGAGGAATTCACGCCTGAATACGTGAACGCTCCCCCATACTTTTGGACACGATCAATGTCTTGTATCAGCTTCAGCTCAACATGACATGCTCGAACAAATGGTTATTTATCCTCGGCATAGCCATCTGCTCAGCCAGTACTTCTGCGGCGAGCAGCGAGACATCTTCTCGACCGCGGGGAGTTGGTCCAGAATGTAGGTGCCACCTGGCCGTTGACTTCTTTCTATGATGAATTGAGACCATTCCAAGCTCCAGAAAGCCATTGCTGATCGTACCCTTGCAGTTGCAAAATACTATAAGGACCCTTCGACCTTCACATGCATTTCAGATCCCAATATCAAGATTCCTTTTGCAGCAGTGAACGATGACTACTGCGACTGCCCCGATGGGAGTGATGAGCCAGGCACCGCAGCATGTTCATATCTCTCCCAGCTCTCACCCACCTTGAGAGATGGCAATGGCGATTCCACAGCAGGGAGGACGCTTGCTCTTCCTGGCTTCTACTGCGCCAACAAGGGACATCGTCCTTCATATATCTCCCACTTGAGAGTAAATGATGGGGTGTGCGACTACGACCTCTGCTGCGATGGTTCCGATGAGTGGGCGCAGCCAGGCGGCCTTAAGTGTGAAAACAAATGCCAAAGCATCGGCGCGGAGTGGAAGAAGGAGGAAGAAAAACGGCAAAAGTCAATGGGCATTGCTCTGAAGAAGCGGAAGGAACTCGTGGCTAAGGCTGCTTCATTGCGAAAGGATATCGAGGCGAAGATTACGTCTTTGGAGAACGATATTCAGCAAGCACAGACCAAAGTCGAGACTCTGCAGGCCAAGCTCGAGGCGGTGAAGGCAGAGGAAAGACTCATATCTAAGAATGAGAAGAAAGTGAAAAGCAAGGCCGCAGAGCTTGCTGGGGAGGCAAAGCAGCGTATTGAGTCTCTTCGACAGGCTCTTCTGGATGCTCAGCGCCAGAGAGACGAAAGTCGGGCTCAGGCTGCTGAGGCAGAGCTCATCCTAAGTAACTTGAAGCAGGAGTATAATCCCAACTTCAATGATGAGGGCGTCAAGAAGGCAGTGCGCTCATATGAGGATCATGCCGCTCGTTATACCGTTGAGACTTTGGATATTGCTCGCGAGAATGAAATCAGTGAACTCACGAGGCCAGATGATTCCCAGTACGGCGTTGATTTTGAAAAGTGGGAAAATCAACAGGAGGATTCTCCACGGACGGGATTGGGTGAGTTTGTCTGTCCCGCTTTGATATTGACATTGGGTTCGCTAACGATTCCATACCATCAGTTGCATGCATCCCAGATGGTTTATACAACTTTGCTGCACAGAAGTGGTCACCCATCAAGTCCATGCTTGTGGATAATGGCCTCCTTGCTGGCGATACCGACGAGTTCGGCGAGTCAAAGGCCGTGGAAAAAGCCCAGAACTCTGTGAATGACGCTGAATCTATAGTTCGCAACAAGGAAAGAGAACTTGATGATCAAAAGAAGAAGCTCGAGAAGGATTACGGCAAAGACCATGTATTCCAGTCTATGGAGGGTTCATGCATCACCCGTGATTCTGGAGAGTACACCTACGAACTCTGTTGGATGACGCATACGATGCAGAAATCCAAGAAGGGCGGTTCAAGTTCCAACATGGGTAATTTTGAAGGATTCACAACGGTGATGGTGGATGAAGTGACACCAAATGGGAAAGTTGAGGCCGTTGAGCGTGTTGGCTTGCAATATAGAAACGGTGCTCACTGCTGGAATGGGCCTAACCGCTCGACGTTGGTCGTTCTCAAGTGTGGCGAGAAAGATGAAATTCTCAAGATCAATGAGGACGAGAAGTGTGTTTACTCCATGCAGGTCACTACCCCTGCTGTCTGCGAGTCTCAAGTCAAGAGTGGGCAGAAGGATGAGAAGGAGGTTAAGGACGAGTTGTGAAGGGTTCTTGGATCGTCAACGAAAACCAATCAACGATTTCACGAAATGAATTTCTATGTACCTAGCAGATTGAATGATTGAACATTACCCCAAACGACGATTCCTCGTAACAATTTTTCTTTGTCAAGGGCGTGAGAGTTCGTACGGTGTCTGCCAGTCAAAACTCCTGAATATCTTTCAGGGGGTGAGGCATCCCACCGCATAACGCTGTTTAAAAACAGAATACCGCAACATGTCTTCCTCGAAAAACTTGTCTCAATGGCTTCATCACCTTGTCAGGGTCAGCAAGAAGGCTTGCACCGAGGAAAGGAAGCAGAAGGGAAAGCAAAAAATGCAAAAAGAAAAGTGGACTTGAAGGGAATCGAACCCTCGACCTCTTCAATGCAAATGAAGCGCTCTACCACTGAGCTACAAGCCCAATCA